AGGGTAATTTCGACTTTTCAACCTTGGAAGGCTATTGGGGTGAATGGTAAAAAATTTTGGGCAAAATGGAAAATGGCAAGTTTGACTTGGGCAATTTGAAAAGTACCCCCTCCATTAAATGATATGCCGAAATAATTCTTCCATGTATGTTCTCATGGTTACCACTACAAGACTCAACTGCAATGCAGTCGAAGATATTTTCCAAAAAATAATAATCATGAATAAAGGCACACAGTAATATAATACCAGCAATCGATTGACATAAATATCAAATTTTTAGTTCAAATATCAAATTCTGATTTCCAAAATCTTCAAAATTCAAATTTCCAAACACTAAAAACAAGAAATAAACCAACTCAATATCAAAAATTAACACGAGAAGGAATCAAAAGACAAAATTCAAGGAAAAAGGCACCCATTAATTACCCATTCTTGAACTCGAATCATTATCTTTCTTGCCCTCGTAATCGCCTGCTTTCCAGAACTGCTTACAACTGCGAACTGCAGGAGCACTAACTGCTTTATCCTTACAAGCATTATCCGAATTCTTAAAACTCTCCTGTTTTACAACAATCGGTACATTGGACAACCCCAAAAAAGAATCATTATTATTTCCAATGGTCGATGATGTAGCGATTTCCTTTTGAATGGAAGAGCGTTCTTCGGGTGTAAGCGGGTCAAGAAAACTGACAGGCAGTACGGTTTCGATCCTCTGCTTCTTCCTTATGTTTCCTTCAATATCCCAACCGTCCAAATCGGATTCATCAGAATAAAAACTATCACAATTACTAATACCACTGCTGCTTAAAGAAATTATGCTTGACCGTGATGATGATAATGGTGATTTCTTGTTTTTCACCGCGTCTTTGGATGGTATTTCCATGCTTTCTTCTTTGATGATCTGAAACTAAAAACTAGGGTTTTGAGAGAGATTTTGAGACAAGTTCTTTTGGAATTCTATTCTAGGAGTAGAGGTGGCGGGAATTGCAGTTCCGCAAGTACTTAATAGGATTCCGTAATCTTAACCGTTTCTTACGTGGGTTACACCAAAAGGTAAAGACGAATCCTTCATGGACTATGAAAAAAAAACTTATGAGAAAAGAGTAATATATGGGGAAAGTCCCACGTAAGTAAAAATGAAATAAAATATATAGTATATGCGAAC